GAGAGCGCAACCGAGTGTGTTTGTGTGTACGCGCGTACGCGCGTACGCCTCCGAACCGAGAACGAGTCCCCAATGATCTTGAACCGTACCATCACAATGAAGGAAGCATGTGGTTGGCTCGACCAAACACAATGCTTGGAATTAGTTCGGACCGTCACAGAAAGAGAGTGCTAATCTGAGGTGAATAATGTGAAAGGCAACGGTTTAAATAAGTCCCATTCAGGATACTAACAATAAAAATACGCATGTGAAAAAGTGAAAGCAAAATACTTACAAATGAGAAGAAAATTTTGATTGGTGTTATTTCTTTTTTTGCTCTTAGGATCACGACGGAACTATTGGAGAAAATGACTCGGTTGTTACTCAAACTATTCCGAAAGAGACGCATCTGTGGACCAAAAAACAAAAAATGTGACTGTGGAGAATTATTCAGTTTCTGTATGGTGAGGATATGGTCAGAAAACTAATGAACAGGAACGAACTGTCGATATTCCGAAGTTCTGCTTTACGAAGCCCGTGTGGGCCCTTTCGAGGAGGTCTGTGTTACCAGGTTAAAGCAATGGTGTTCATCTCCAATGGATTCAATGTTGGGAAATCTCTAACAAACCTTGTTTCATTACCCGTGAAAAATGGATGAGGACGGTCACTTTAATATATTGCCAATCGACTTTAGAAGAATGCACATTGAGGTTTCGGTTGCGTTTCTGACGCGTCAGATGTGTGCAATACATATGTGAGTTAGTCAGTTGGACGCGGTGCAGTGTAAATTCCTTATGTAAAAATACACGTTTCTGGACAGTTTCAAGGTGGAGGCTGTGACCAAAAGATACTAATCTTAATAGTCCGTATGCTGTTTGTAGCAGATTTTAGCTAGATTAATTTATAAGGCCCTTTCAAAGATCTTTCGATGAAATTTTATTGCGGGGTAGTTAGTTACCAGTTTAAGAAGCAAATCAAATCACTGCGAACAAGAGAATCCATGTTTCCAAGTAGAACCCCGTAGCATTCTGCTGTTCAAATGATCCTTACAACTTATGTTTACAAAATCGCCATGTTTTAAAGGTTATCAAACCCGTTTCGGATGGAAAAAGATCTAATGTATTGGATCGAAAATAATATGTTAGTGTTGGTGAGTTCTCCGAGCTGGAAGTGTTGTTCGCAGACATTTCGTAGTCGAACTAGGCAACATCAACATCCGCAACCCGAGTTACAATCATTCCACATAATTTCCAATATGATCTGTTGTATAACATCTTCTTACCCTCCTCGTTTATCTTATTGTTGCTGCTCTACAGATGAAAGAATAATGTGAAATCGTCTCACATAGGGAAGCCTGATTGTTATTTCATGACTTAATAAATAGTTGTTGTAGAACATTCAATCATAGTGGTGATTTATTACAATGCTTAGTGTAATGTCACGACTTTATATGGGAGAATTCGCTTCGGTGCTAAGGGTATTTACTAACCCGACTATTTATCGACGCATTTATGTTGGCAACAGGTTCCAAGCCTCTTGATGCCCCGCGACCACCACCCTGTCATTGAGATGTGCAATATCTCTCATAACCCCAGTTACACGTTCAATCTGCTTTGAATTGGTGTTTCTCATGCACATCAAACGTCATGACAAATCTCATTTTGAATTAAACACTGTTCTATGCATCGAATCGCGAATCCTTGAACTGGGAATCAAAATACTGATCACACGGCTAGGTTTGGACAAGCTCATTCGACTATTTGCTGACGCCGGACACGGTGTACGCACTGCTGACGAGTCCCCTATGGGGTCGACACAACGTCATTGGATTCAAACGCAGAGAACTTTTCGGGTATGAATGAACTCGCAAGGAGTGGAGCCCACAGGCACCACACACACACACACACACACACACACACACACACACACACACACACAC